TTTGTGGGATTTTTTTTCTGTGTTGCTTTAAGTTCAGGATTTTTTTTAAATTGCAAAAATTGCAAAATTAAAGCGATGTGAAAATCAGTACTAGTAAGGAATGACCCTTACTGGAGCAAGCACTTCAGAATGTCTCAACAAACATTTTAGTTCGTAGTAAACCTGGTCAGAACTTCAGTGGAAAAAAGAGACCCTTACCAAAGCTGTTGATATGGAACATATATGGTCCAAATATGGAAATGGTATGGGACAACATATGGCTAATCTATGGGCATTGCATGGTTTTTATATGGGATGTTAGCTCCCATATCAAACCCATAAATAGTGACTAGTGCCCGCCAAGTGCATTCTATTGTCTTTCACTATGGGATTTCTACGTATTTCGTAAAGTTCCATACATTCCCCATAGGATCTGGTATGGGAATGGTATGGGTCAGTCCCATAGTGATGCCATATGATGGCTGAACATTCTCTATGGGATTGCTACGTATTTCGTAAAGTTCCATATATTCCCCATAGTATCCATTAGGGGAATGGTATGCAACAATCCCATACCATTCCCATAATGACCCTGGACCATTCTCTATGGGATTGCTATGGGATTTTAAAGTTCCATATCATTCCCATAGCATTCAGCAAAGCTGACATCTCATATGGGAACACTATGGGGTCCTTTGACTTCAGCCCCATATCTTTACCATATGATTCAGAAATTACTAAAGGGACTGTGAGGTTAAAGGCAAGTAATGGTGACATCATATTCGTCCATTGAAACCATATCTTTAATTGCATCTAAAATTTCTTGCAAAAAAAATTGAATAAAAATAACAAAAAACCAAAAATCTTATATTTCTTCTAGGTCAACACTATGAAACCGGTAGTTTTCCTCTCGCTCAACACTATCATTAACAACACTACTTTTTTTATCAAGCAATACGACTTAACTTGCCAACTCTGTCAAATTGTTACTCTTCTTTTTGATCGACACTATAATACGGTTACTGTTATTTTTGGCCAAGACTATGAAACTGTTATTCTGTATTTTGGTCAACATTATCAAACAGAAATTTTCTTTTTGGTCAACATAATGAAATTGGTAAACTCTTGAAGTTAAACAGTTTTACAGTAATTATAAAAAGTGTTCATTCTGCTCGTTGCTCTCGTACTCTTGGGGGCCTTCTAGCTTCCACACATTTCATGTTTATCTTCTGTATGATTTGGCTCGGTTGAGGAGAGTCCTTTGAAAACTTTGAACAGACTTTACCTGAAAAAAAAGTTTAAGTTAATATTAAGTCATATTTACATGTAAAACAGTACCCCAACTTATACGTGGAATGTTGCCTCACCAAGAAACAAAAATTTTCAGAATGTCTCAACAAACATTTTAGTTCGTAGTAAACCTGGTCAGAAATTCAGTGGAAAAAAGAGATGCTCAATTCAGGGAAGCAGTTAGCATAGAGAAATGACTCGCTGTGGCATTTTGGTGTCTTGCCAGTGGGAATGTGTACAGAACTGTTGCCTCCACATTTTCCCTTGGCTTTTGAGACCTTACCTGAATGTGCGCAACTTAGACCCAACAAAAGTTCAATTTAACACTGTCCTGAGCAAGATTCATGTGATTGTGGAGCGCACTCTTGTTTTGTTGAAGGGATGGTGGAGATGTTTGCAAAAAGAATTGGAAATCTTAACAGAAACGTCCCAGAATGATAGCTGCTTGTTGTATTCTTCACAACATTTGCATTGAAAATGGGGAGCCAGATCCAAAAATTGGTGACAGCCATGACAATTATGATAACAATGATGATTTTGTTGATGGGGGAGCAAGTTCCAATGCAGATGCAGTCAAGGATGTTTTGATAAGAAATCTTTTAAATTGTAAAAAAAAAATGCTTTATTGATTACTGTTTATGTCAATTCTTTTATGTGATGGAGATAAATGCTTACATTTGGTGTTTCTAGCATTTGTAATATTTACTGCTTCACTGAAATATGTTAAAATCAAGGCAGAACCTTTCTCATCTAGTGTAATCAAGAGTTCAACAACCTGATCAATAGTTCATTAATAATTGTCCTTAAATTTTCACTGAAACATTGAGCACAACATATCATCAGTGACTGTAAGACCTAATGGAATGAGTTTTAAAGCAATAAAATAAACAACCTGACTTACAATTTGTTAATTATTGTCATTAAAATCTCCTTTTGCCTTTCTTTGGGTGTCTCTTCTAACTGTATCAATCTCTCCATCATTTTGTCATCTCTCTCTTGAGCTTCTAGGAGCAACTTTATCTGCTTGTCTACAACATTGATGAGTCCCTTTGAGCTACCTTCCTCGTTTAGTTTCTTGGCTTTTTTCAGCCCTTGCTGTCTTACACAGCCTTTTACCGGGTGTTTGCTCCAAATTGCTTGACTCACGGTTGCAATCAGCGTTGCATTTTCCCGCTCCTTTTGATGTAGAAGTTGCGAACATTTCATCTCCATCACCAAGTTGATCTTTATGACCCTTGCCTTCCTCTTGATGTTTTGCCTTTTTTTTATTTTCATATCTGCCTTCACTGGAACAAAAAAGGATCAGGGAGTTGATTTTATCCTTGGAACTAAAAAGCATGATCAACCATGTCAAACCACAAAGGTTTGTCGGGCTGGGTTTCCCAGTCTGTTTGTGATTTTTATCTTTATTCTTCTTGTGATCTGGCTTTAGGTTATTCATCTTCTCTTTCATTTCTTGCAGGGTTCTGGTGGCCATGTTTCTGCTTGCTAATTCAGGATTGAAATCCTTCTCAAGGTTATCCTAAATGCCTGAATTGGCTCTTGTTTTTTTACCAGTAAGCTTTCCCAGGGAATAAGCAGTCTCGCAGAGTTCCCACAAAAGAGAGGTTTCTGTATCTGTCCAATCTCTTCTCTGTCGTGGAAACTTTGAAGAAGCAACAGTTTGCAGCAAGTTTGACCTGCATTCAATGCTAGGTACAGCCAGATTAGGGGGAGAACATCCATACTGTCTCTTGTGTTTATATTAAGCATCAGTCATCAATAATTAATGTGGAACATGCAAGTGTAACATTTTTTTCTATTATTTGTTTTCTGCGAAATTAGTTTATAGCTCTTTTCGTCCTTTCATTTGGTTTGTTTGCACAATTAAGTTTTTATTCCTTTCTGTCAGTTTTTGCCCCCCTCGTTAGCGTTTCTTTGCTGTTTCATCATCGTTAGCACCTTTCTAAGTTTCTATAGTTTTATTTTCTGCATATTCTATGATAGTTTTGCAGTATAGTTTGGTCTCAGTTGATTTTGGTCCATGGTTAGTGCAGTTCTGATTAGTTTTTGCCAGTCTCTTCGTGTTATCCGCAATTCGCTTCACAGCAGTTTTCTCTGTATGAAACAATGTAAGTCAGTGTACTTCACAGTCCTTGTTTTTGCAGGCTTTTTATTTCTTTATTCTGATTTTCCTTTCTCACAACTTGTAATTTTTGCTCTCTTCCTGTTTTAGTTTCACTTATTTCAAGTACCAAGCACATCAGTTACAATAAATCTTGGTGTGTGGTCTGTTATTAAAGGCCATAAGACTTAAGACATAAGTTGTAAAAACAGCAAGACTGTCAGACATAAAGGAAATGAATATACTACCAAAAACTACTCAGGGTGGGTAGGGTGGGAAAACTAGTAAATGCAGCTACTAAAGACTGTTTGCTAGCTGAGATATATTGTACTAAGGTAAAGGCTGTCTTAGCCCCAGTACCCCCCATATTTGATATTTACAACAGCATCACAACCCTGTGTAATATTTAGGCTTCAAAGTAAAGATTTATTCCGCACACAGATGTAGTACATACAAGATGGCCGAACATCAAAGCACATGGCTCCCAACATGCAACGGGGCCTTGCTAACTAGAACACTGGTAGTCTGATGTAATAAACAACTAATCCAACATCTCCCCCAAAAGTTTGAGTGTAACCTTGTGTACACGGTTCAGTAAACTCAACAAGAATGTAACAATACTAATACAAAAAGTTAATGCCAGTTAGTTCACAGGTCTAGCTGTTGTGGTGGTTTCACTATTCCTCCTGAGCGTGTCACACACTCGGTTGCAGAGCGGTCACCATTTGGAGGGCCTCCTTGGGTTGACACAGCTGTTTTTGATCTACAAGTAGTAGGCGTTGTAGGTTCAGCTGGTTGGTTCTCTGAGACGGGGGTAGAAACCCTTGGAGGCGTGTGGTTCACGGGCAGTGTTTTATCCTGAGGTACCATAGTTGGCCCGTCAGTGGGAAAGGCTGGTTGTGAACTGGTTGGGACTAGAGCGGACCAGTTACGTTGCAGAGTGTTCATCTCAGTCTTCACTAAGTAGGACCTTGGTTGTTTTGTGGCTCCCAAGATCTGACCTTCCCGGTTCTGGTCTCGCACCCAAACTTGCTGGCCAGTGGTCAATGATGGGAGAGCACAGGCTTGGTGTCGTTTGTCATGGTAGATCTGTTGCTTTGACCTGTATTCGTCCTCTCTCAGTTGCACTCTTTGCCGGTCTGTATCTTGCACATTAGGTTTGAGAATGCTGGGCATGGCAGGAACTTTAGTTTGTCGGCGGCGCCCCATGAGCAACTCGCTGGGTGAAAAACCATTCTGCAATGGTGTAGATCGGTAAGCAAGGAGGGCTGGATATGGGGATATGGGCAGCTTTGACTGTGCAGACCGCCCTTTCGAATTCCCCATTGGCTCTTGGCTATTTTGGTGAGCTTGTCACATGAATAAAGTCGTACTCAGTGGTAAACAGGCGAAATGCATCGGAGCTGAATTGCGGGCCATTATCTGATACAATAATATCAGGTATGCCATGTGTAGAAAATAGTTCTTTTAGGACTGAAATGACTCTGGAAGATGATTGGTCGTTTAGTCTCCTGATCTCGAACCACCTTGAGTAGTAATCAACAACAATCAAATAGACCTTTCCCGCAAGTTCAAAGAGGTCAGCAGCTAATCTCTCTCGGAAAGGAAAGGAAACACTTGCCTTTTCTTTTTAGAACTTCCTTTCTAGATTCAGTACTTGTGACAACATTACACTTAGAACTCTGATCGTTTTGATTGCAAAATGAACACCAAACACGAGAAGACTGCTTATCCTTAGAACTGTCAGTGTAGAAAGCTGATGTAGAAAGTGGCAACCCACCTCTCTGATTTGAGGATCTGAACTCTTTGTTGTTGACAAGACATTGTTCTCTCAGTTCCAGTTACTTGTGAAATTCAACCAAAATATCTTTCAGATTCCATGTCTCCGATTCCAGATTGCGAGTGATAGCGATTCGAAATTCCTCCGGTAATTTCTGCATAACTATTGGTATTAAGAAACAACCATACATCTCAGAAGAGATTTCCATACCTTCTAATCCACGAACATGAAATTCCACTGTGTCGTACAAGCTTCGGAGTTTCTTAACTTCGCCAATAGATTCCACCTTGGGGAGTTTGGTGAGCACTTCGATGTGGCTAGAGATCACCATCTGCCGATTTCCGAATTTTGGTTTCAGTAGATCAACCGCCTTTTCGTAGTTAGCACTTGTCAGGGCTAGACCAGTGACCAAACTTTGTGCAGTGCCAGTGAGAAGTGACTTCAGATAGTTGAATTTATCCACGGAAGACAGATTTGGGTTCTTGTGAACCGCAGACTCGAAAGATTCCCAGAAAGGATACCAATGCATGGGATTTCCATGGAATTTCTTCAGCTCAAGCTTGGGTAACTTTGCATGAGTGAAAGCTTTCGAAACGTGACCTTGAGAAGTTCCTGCACTTTCGGGAGAACCAGGTTGCACCACGGAAGGGGATTTCTGGCTCTTTCCCTTACTTTCTTGAGCTTCCAAAACAGATTCTATATCTACAATACACTTCTGAATGGAGCTCATTAGCTCACAGCTCTCACAGACTTCAGTATCAACAACTTCAACATCATCCACCAGATCCACAATTTCGCGGTCGAGCGATTGAAGCTCCAAATACTTCGTTTCAAGAGCGGTTCGAAGAAATTTCAGCCTTTTCACTGCGATGAGATTACCTTCAGCGATTAACCCTTTAGCATCTTCGATAGTTTTCTCAACAAACTTTCGATGACCGTCGCGAAATTTCCTCAGATTCTTCAATTTCTTCTTCCCCGACTGCGACATGTCACCCACGTGCTTCCAGCTCGCATTCACAACAATTTCATTCAAGACGTTCTTCAGAGCGGTAGAATCCCGGTTTTTGATTCCCGGGTCTCGGCACCAAATGTATAAAACGTATGCAACAGTATAACTTCGAATAAAGACTGTATTCCAGAATAACAATATACAAGAGAGCTTTCATGCATTCCTTTGAATTTTCCTTTTTTTTGAGTTTTCATCAAGAGTTTAAAGTTCAATTTGTGGGGGGTAAGAAACATACAAAAATCCACGTGACACTCTCGGTCCAGTTTTCAACAGCCCCTTTTATCCATTGTTCGTGGTCAAGCAGTGTTTCTGCTGATAGCCCTCTTGAGAGGTCGTCACCTGGATTAGATTCTCCACTCACATACCTCCACTGGCTAGGGTCGGATCCATTCCGAATGATTGCAGTGCGGTTAACTACAAATGTGTGAAATCTCTTGTCTTCATTGTTCACATAACGTAACACATGTACTATCCGTCCAGAAAACTGATGGCTCGGTAAGTGGGAGTTCTAGCGCTCTCTTTATGGCTTTGCCTGACCGCATCGACACTGTTGCTGCTGAAAGCTCTAATTGAGGAATAGTAAAATTTCTTCAAAGGTGCAAGCTGTGACTTTCCTAGAAGGATGGCGCAATGGACTCTATCGTTGATATCAACCAGGCGCAGGTAAGATACTGAACCAAAACCAATCTCTGAAGCGTCTGAAAAATGGTGCAACTGGCTATAAGCAATGGTCCCAAAGTTGGCTGGTTTAAAACAATGGTCGATCGCAAGCTTTGACAGCATAGGAAGGTCTATAAGCCATTTTTGCCAACGTACATTGTACTCTAGAGGTATTTCCTTGTCCCAGCCCGATTTCATCTTGCAAAGGTCTTGTAGAATTTTCTTGGCTGTAAGGACAAATGGTGCAGCAAAACCAAAGGGGTCGAACACTGATCCAATAATGGACAAGATACCTCTCAGCTTAGGGGGCCTTTCTTTGACATTGACATCGAAGCCAAATGTATTGGTGTTTACTCTCCATTGCATGCTGAGTGCTCATTCAACTACATGTTGGAGGCTGATCTCCTTGATGGTCTATGTGCGCTCTGGTTCTGGTATAGTCTCAAGAACCTCCTGATCACTGCTGATCCATTTCATTAGTCGGAAGCCTCCTCGCTGTAGTAAGCTGCGCAAGTCGCTGACATGGGCATTAGCATCTTCAACTAAAGGCAATGACTTCAGACAGTTATTGACATAGAAGTTTCTTCTGACGGTGCTTGTAACATCGGCAGAGAAATGTTGGCTGTTATCATCCGCCATCTTTAGGAGTGCAAAAATAGCACAAGCTGGAGAAGTTACGGCACCAAACAAGTGAACTGACATCTGGTATTCTTTCAGTGCACAGGACAAATTGCCATTCGGCCACCACAGAAAGCGGAGAAAAGGAGCAGTCAGTGTCTGGAACCTTTACCTGGTGGTACATCGCCCCGATTTCCACCATGACTGCCACATGCTCTTGTCGAAATCTGGTGAGGACCCCCAAAAGAGAATTTGTGAGGTCTGGTCCCTTCAACAGAGTGATTTTTCCTTGTACTTAGCAGAGCAGTCAAATACTACGCGAACTTTTCCAGGCTTGTGGGGGTGGTATACACCGTGATGGGGGATGAACCATGTCTTTCCCACAAAATTAGACTCCTTCTGATACTGGGGAACTCTTCGGGCATACCCCTTTGCAACAAGCTCCTCGACAAAGGTTGTGTGATCTTTAAGTAACGCAGGACTCTTCTAAAGCTTCTTCTTTAACCAGCTGGCGCGTTGTTCAGCCTGAATACGGTTGTTTGGAGTTGGGCACTTTAAATCTTTGAAGGGTGGGGCGATTTCATAGGGTCCATCTTTCATGAAGCGGCACTCCTCCTGGGACGGCTCAGTCTTGCTATCAGGAATGGACTCCCCAAAATCACGGTTATAGAAATCTTCGACCATCTGACACAGCTCAGTGCCAGCTTTAGCGAAGAAACTGGTTGCACACAAACTCCGTCAATCACGCTTTAAAGGACCATTAACTGCCCAGCCCAAGCGAGTTCTAGTAGTGTAAGGGCCACCATGCTGACTATTCTTCACTTCTAGTGGATCCGGGGCTTCTGGTACATCGCTGGCAATTAACAGTTGGCAGGTAAACACCTTCAAAGTGGGGCCATCTGTCGACATCCTCTTGTGACGGTATATCATCCTTTGAAACTGGTATCTCCTCTCTGGTGTACAAAATGGGAGGTTTTACTATGTAGTTCTCGTCTAAATCGGTTACCTCCAGGTCATGCACTAGAAAACTGTCAATCAGGCTATCTTTCTTATCTAGAGTGGTGAGGGGAATCTTTGTCTTAGGACCATTAATGTCGAGTTGCCTCATGAGAGCCTCTGTGCAGTAGGTAGAACTGCTTCCGTTGTCTAGAAAGGCGTATATGGCGATTGCTTTCTCGCTTCCTCTACGTCTGACTTTGACTGGAAGGATAGCCATGCCTGTCCGAGAAAATCGGGCCCCAGTGAGGCTACAGGAGGCGTTGTTAATACATGCCATGCCGTTGTGCACTTGTGATGTGCCATCAGCAACTCCAATTCCACTTCCGACTGTGGTGTCCTCTTTGGGTCTTTCCCGAGGTTGTGAGTGCAGGACGGTCGGATGCTTTTTAGGACAGCCATCTATCTTGCAGGATTTTCTTTCTGGGCAGACTTCCGCCAGGTGCTCTTGTGACAAACATCCAAAGCAGAGCCCTTTGGATGATAAGAAATGAATGCGCTCCTGGTAAGGGCAATGTCTTAAAGATCTGCAAACTTCTAACTCGTGCCTGAAATTGCAGAAGGGACACATGATACCATCCAAAGAAGGGGTCTCAATGGGATCATTGGAAGTGGTACTTGACTTTGTGCCTGCCTTGGAGTTGAGAGTGGTGTCAACATGTGCGGCAAAGCTAAGTTTATCAGGTGTCAACGCTGTTGTCATGTTCAAAAAGTTCCCGCATTGCGTGAATGGCTGCCTCAGCCCACTCTGATGACCAGCGCACGCTCGTAAAGAGCCACTCGCATCTATAACATTCGGCTTGGTGACCTTTGTCACACAGTTTCCCATAATCCTCCTTAACACTTTGCCTACTCCAATCGGTCGTACCGCTCCTTCCCCTTTGTCGAGGGGAATAATTAAGTCAATTCACTAAAATTGCTTCTAGGCCCCAAGGATCGACATACTCTGTGCATAGGCATTTGGTCATGCTGGCTATAGCTTCACATAGTTCTGTTCCTGATCTCTTAAAGGATTTACAAGTAAGAATTCTTCTGAAGCTGTTTGCATCTACACCAGAGGGCCGGCACGAGCCCTTAGTTCTTAGAGCGGCGTCCCTGACCATGTCTTCATTGATCTCATAGTACAGAGTGTCGGGAATGTCCTTAATAGGGCCAAACAGGAGAGACCCTAATTGGACAACCTGTGGCTTTGGGTGTTTTTCCTTCAACTGCTCCATGACGTCATCAGAAAGGGGTAAGATCCCTCCACCTTGATCATCGCTTAGATATCGTAATGCCAAATTGACTTGTCCCGTCATCACAAGATTTGCAAAAATCTTTGCCCTATTTGGAGGGTCTGTCGCCCTACGGGAGTCTCCAAGACACCTCTGTATCATGCACCCTTCACGGAGGATAGTATCATCCTTGCCTTTCTTCCATAAGACAAGACGCTTTGCCAAACAATCCTGGTGATCTTTCGATTTCCATTTAGGACCGGGCTTTTGTAGACAAAGCGCTAGGAGAACAATAGCGACTTTAAGAGCAATGAATTCCATTTCTGAACCATTGTTCCATTTGTTAATTAGTTCTCTCAATGTGTTGATGAATTCTTTTCCCATTTTTCCGAGAGGGACTAAAAATGTGTTTTTACGCCATTTGGATATTTCATCATAGGCATTCTCAATGGTCGACACATTAACAATTATTGATCTTCCTTCATCGTATTGGCCCCAGACAAATGAAGATGGTGTGTGAAGCGTATTGCATTCGGGCAGTGATCCTGGCACCTCGTCAGATAACCTTTCACGCTTCGATTGATCAGACTGCAGCTCCTCCGGGAGTTGCACTGTGGACATATGTAAATTTG